TACAGTGATGCACATGTAGAGTTTTAGTCATTTTTGTGATCAATTTATTTATCTCTTTACCATGGAGAAAGTCAACGTCCCTCAGCCCTCCGGCATTCCTCATAGACAAAAGTCAAGTTGTGGCAAAAGTTCCATAAAAAATGAACCTAAACAAAGGTTTATTTATTTTATGAGTCCTACTTTCATCAACTCAAATCCAGATCATTCAAACTGCACAAGAGAAAAGAATGAGACTGAACATTGTAAACACACATAACATCTTTGTAACATCCATTATCTCTTTTTTTCAGAGAAGTCTAAGTTGTTTACCTATGAAAGTCAACTAAGTCAAGCTGAACAAAGAACATGTCTGCTCAAATGACTTACTGTGGACAACTAAAATGAGATCAAGTTGAATTGTTTATGCTCCTACAACAAAACACACCGTCTAAACAAGTTATTGCTCAGGCTAATATTCTCTTGCCCTTTAGTACTGCTTTTGAGAACCTGAAAAACCTCATTACTCAACTAAACGCTAGAGAATTTACCATCAACATTCAAAGAGAAGATTTTCACCAGCTTTCTCTAAAATCCATTTGTAAGGACATACATTTTCTTATCCTAATTCACACCCACCAACCACATCATCAGACAAATCTCGCAAGTAACGAGGACTTTGTGACGTGGTGCATTGTCCTGCTGCAAGTTAGCTTCCAGGATCTTCTTCTGTGGAACCAGATCCCAGATTAAATTTATTTTCACAGGACACCTTTCCAAGTACAACATTTATAAGAAAAACCTTTGCACATGAGGATTGATCAGGATGTTAATTTAACCTACGACCTGCTTTTGTCTGTCTGTCTGTCTTTTTGTTTTTGTTTATCTTGGCTGTTGTGGAAAACTGCCTCACACCTCTGCAGAACAATACTCAACAATTAGGCAACTTGTACTTGGCTCTTGTCAGATTTATCAGTTATCCAAGTGACTTATTATTTTTATTATTAATAATAATTCACTCTATTCAATCTAAGCTGTCTCTTTGTCTCTCTCTATTGGGAACTTCATTTGGGTTGTGATGTTCCTCGAGTTACCTCAGAAGTGAAATGCACACTGCATCTTCTCAGGAATGTCATTCATGAAACTGTTCAGCTACTTGTTATTGGACTTTCGTATAAAATCCAGATGAAACACACAACACAATAGATTTTGTAGTTTTAATGCAGCAAGATCAATGGGTTGGAAATATTTTCCGGTATTGGAAGCAATGACATATCAATGTGAGGATAGAAACAAGGTTACATTTTGGGGATGATTATTATAGCTCAGCATGGTCATCTATTTTAATAAAGAACGTTAACAAGAGCTACATGCTAGGCCTGGTGTAGATTTTCTCTTGATTGTGAATTTTATGCTTTTAATAACTTTTTAGCTGTTTTTATATGTTGTGTAAAAATGTATGTATGTGAGATGATGTTTTATGTGATGCTGTTAATGTTTTTTTTTGTTGCTACAAATATATTTCACTGGTTTCATTGATAAAACTTAAAAAACTGTGCATTCAACTTAGTTTCAATAACTCAATCTTGTGA